TGGTGCTTGTTATGTAAGTGGAAGAGGAGGGATTGATCAAGATTATAATAAAGCATTCGAATACTATAAAAAATCTGCCAATATGGGTGTTAGCGGAGCGATGGAAAATGTTGCTCGATTTTATCGAAACGGTATCGGTATAAAAAGAGATATTCAGAGTGCAAATTATTGGTACAGAAAACTTAAAAGTCTTTTGAAAACTAATAAATCACCAGATCATATTAATCCTGAACTTAGAGGATATTAAACGATGATAGATTTAAATTATCTTGGATTGATTATAATGAGTTCAGAGATATTAGAGAAGAGGGAAAAGGAGGATTCGCAATTGTATATCGTGCAACTTGGTATAATAGAATTAATGGTGTCGCACTTAAAGTGATTCGTGATTCAAACAAAAATGAGCAAGAATTTATTCTAGAACTGAAGAATTACTGTGAAATTATTAAATTTTTTTAAAAATGAATTCAAATGGCCTTTTTTGCTTTTAAACGTTTAATAATTTATATAATGATAATCTAAGCACGGTATGCTTATAAACTCAGCGGGCTATTACAGTAAGAATTGTGCATTGCATATTCAGAATCAATGAAAGTTTTTTTATTATTATCCTATGAATTCATGGAATTAATATAAAAAACTTTACTGAATTGCTGTCAAGAAATTATTGTTCGAAGTAAAGAATTTAGGCGATTATTAAAACAAAGTCAGCAGTCAAGTTTCTCCAAACTTTGACTGATTAGATAAAGTAATTGCTGAGATATTTTCATTAAAGTGTTGAAAAAAGTATATAATATTATTACCAGGGATTTTTAATTTCATTAGCTTGAGATGTCAACAAATATGTACCAATAAGATCTCTTCGATGAATCAATACGTGCAATATTTTAAAGTAAAAAATATACGTTAAAGTTAGATAGAAATTGGAATTTTTTTATATTAGAGCGCAGAATGTGGTTTCATAGTCGAAATTTCAAGTTATGCATCGACTGTTTTTTAAAAATTGTGATTTTCACGTTGTACTCACAGCAGATTCTCGATTTTGATTGGCTAAGAGCGATGAACAAAAAATTTGGATGGAGTTACTCTGAATTCTACTAATGTAACCATAGAGCCTATTAAGTGAAATTGTTCCTGAGTCAATTTTACTATAAAGTTGCCAGAAATTTCTATTTTTGTAATAAAAAAAAAATTAAAAGTTAATTATGGCCAGAAATTAGTAAACAATTATGTAATGTTGGCCAAAATTTGCAGATCTGCGAGTGACAATTTTGTGTCAATCGTTTGAAGAAATCTGATTGGTGCATACTTGACTGTTTTAGTTAAAAATACATATGCACTTGGCTATTAGAACTAAAAAAAAAACATAAAATGCTAATTTCACGCATCTATAAATTGGATAATTTTCAGGTCGGGTTCACATTCAACCCAAACCTGACCCGAAATTTTCGGGTCAAAAATTTCTAACCCGAACTCGACCCGACCCGAAATTTCGAGTTGGGTTTCGGGTTATACATCACCCGTTCCTGGTATCACTCTAACAGCTTTTTATGGGTAGTATAGTTCCGATTCGGGTAATCCCTCATCCATATCTGAACCATGGATAGCTCATATCGCTCAAATATCCGGATAATCCAAAAAGTATTAGGATAGTTATCCGGATATCAATAGTAAATGAATAACCAAATAAATTCATATCCAAATATCTGATAATTATCCAGATAAACACTTACCAGATTGGAACTCTAGTGGCTAATATTAGGATGAGAAAGTTTATATTATAAAATCATACTAACACTCTTTATGATTAGTGATAAGATAAGGAAGTTTATATTATAAAATCATTAAAATGGCTCTTTATAAAATATTTTACAATAACAGATCATTCCGCTAGTACATGTTATTATAATAAAACAGGTGTTGGGTTATAATCATAACATGTACTAGTGGGTTGGTGATCTTGTATTGCAAACCAATTTTTTATTTGTTGCACACCTCATAGGCAGACATTTGCATGATTGGCAGTTTAAATCAATTTAATTTTACATTATTTATACAGTTTAAAGTACTTTTTAAAAAAAAACTATGAAGAATAAATGAAAAAGAAGTATATAGAAGGTTTATTAGAGTTGTAGAACTTGAATATGATAAATTCGAAATTATGTGATGAGATCGATTTTATCACAAGATTTATTCGATTTTGTCACAAATAATGTAAGTGTTTATTCGATTTTATCACGTGACAAATTCGATTTTGTCACATTCAAAATTTTCAATTTTTGAATTTTTGAATTTTTAAAATGAAATATAATCAAAATAACCCATGGTGATCATCACCACCCTAGATATATTTAGGGTTAGGGTGTAGCTTTAAGACATATAGGAGTTTTTTATATAATATAATGTTGATTAGATATCAGTAGTGATGATCACCACTGGTTATAGTTAGATTTATTCTTTTAAAATTTTCAATTTTCAAATTTTCGAATTTTCAAAAATTTCAATTTTCAAATTTTGTATTTTTATATTTTTCAATTTTTAAATTTTTCAAATTTTAATTTCAAATTTTTGAATATTTGAAAATTTAAAAATTCGAAATTTGAAATTTGATAAAATCTAAATATAGTAGTTTAATTGCCAAATATGTATTATAGTCACGTGAAATTTGAATTTGGCTTTCCCACAAACATGTGTTGGGTTACACAAAATTTAAAAACATGTGATCTGTATAACTTACGCTTTATATTTAGCAATTAATTTACTATATTTAGATGTTTTAAAATTTTTTAAAATTTTTAAATTTTTAAATTTTTCAATTTTTCAATTTTTTGAATTTTTCAATTTTTGAATTTTTCAATTTTTCAATATTTGAATTTTTCAATTTTTGAATTTTTCAATTTTCGAATTTTTGAATTTTTGAATTTTTCAATTTTCACAATTTCAAAATTTTGAAAATTTAAATTTTTAAAAAAATTGCACTTTTGGCCCAAATGGAACACCATATTAAAGTAATAATACCTGATTATTGAATATCAAATTTAATTTGTAGCACTTATATCGTAGATAAAGGGGTTTATTTACAATGATTAGAGATGCAATCGGAATAATGTATTAATTTCGTTTTGCTAATTCAAAGTTATTTAATTTTTATATTTATCTAGACGCATGAGTTGTTTAAAGGGAACATATTAACTTAAATATGCATTGCAGTATATAATGGAAGTATTAAATGGCATAATCTAATTTTATAAATTATGATAAGATTTAAACTTTGTAAATAAGCAGTACTAACATTAGGTTGACTACATGATAACTTACAACATCAATTATAATAATAATTTTTACATTATCATTATTTCTTAAATAATGTGTGAAATTAAATATTGGAAAGATTCTTAACATTAATAATCGTATAACATGTCAGGTAACAGCAAAATGTAATGTAATAATATTTTGATGAAGTATTATATTGATTACTACTTAAATTTTAATATGTATGCCTGTTAATGGTAATACTGTGGTACGTATATAGGTTAATTATATTAAATAGTAAAGACTTTATAATTACGGGATAATGAAATGGTGTAATCGATACTAAAAATTTAGATATTTTATTGGTGATATATTATTCATATTTTATATTATATTGATATTTATATTATATTTATATTATAATTCTAACTATTAAATATTTTCTGTTCATTTTTCATATATTTAATAATTTGAATAAATTAGATATTATTTAAGAAATCGGTGTAAAAAAATTCTTAAGCCATTATTGTATAATGAATTTAACCGATTGTATTCAGTAATAACAGCTGGATCAGTTTTTATATAAATTGGATCAAATGAGGTAATGTCCAATGAGCCCCACGAGGGTGCTCAACTCAGTGCAACATATGCTTGACCATATGCGAACATTTGTTCGTCGATTACTAACGAAATGTTGGGGATAGTTAATCCTTGTGTCTTATGTATGGTGAGTGCAAAGGCATTTTGTAGAGGAAATTGATGCCTATTAGCAGGTATGCCATTTAAAAGAAAATGGTTTGTTATTTTTTTTACAATCACAGTAATAATTTTTGATGGAGCTAGAAATACAACGGTGACCGAATTATCATCATATTGATCAGTAACTATTCCAATGGATCCATTATAAAACCATGCTCAAATAGAGCATTATCAAGGTACATAACTCGAGCATCTTTTTGTAAAATTAAGATTGCGGGTAGATTTGTATGTTGACGAAAGTTAGGATCATTATATACAGCATTACATTCTTGATTATTAATGTGGTCAATAGCAGTCGCAATGATGGGTTCAGAATCATCATGTTCTCGAGATAAGGATAGATATGCTAGCTTATTCATATTATTTGCCATGGAACGAAATTCAACTAAATATGTAGTATCAATTGGATGCATGATGATGGTGGTTTTATCTTATCATTAATTAATTGTAATGTATTTGTTGATATAGATCCACTACGAATTTCATTTAGCACTTTATAAAACATTATGTTATGATTTTGTTTGCGAGGTGTTGTTAAGAATATGAGATAAAACTCAGCCCAAACAGGTGATCGAAATACTTGGGTGCCATTTACAGGAGGTAGTTGTGCAAGATCAACAATTAGTAGGACTCTGGTTCTACCAAATGGTAAAACATTATTGTGTAGACGTGCAAAAAGATTACTAATAAATGTCAATAGGCTAGCTGATACCATAGATATTTCATCAATTATAATGACCTCAATATTTAGAAGAAGTTGGCGACTTTCTTGGTCATTTAGTGCTAAACTTATATGATTACCAGATGATGGACATATTTTTAATTGTGAATGAATTGTTTTGCCGCTGATATTTTGTGCAGCCATGCCAGTTGGAGCCATTAATAAATATTTTTTGCGATGCAATAGTAGGTAATTTATAATTAATGATATTAAGTATGATTTTCCAGTTTCCACAGAGCCAGTAAGGAAAAAATACGGATGACCATGATCACTTACACGACCCCATGCTGAGGTTAATAGATTGAATGCTGCATATTGGTCTGCTTGTGTTTTTAGTATGGAGTGATGAAATTGAGGGAGGAGAACACATTAATGTGTTAAGTTGATTACTTATAATAGCAGCGATATCCCACTGCATGTTATTTATTATTTTGTCAATTTGTTGCTGATAATTACAGGAAAAATTAAGATGTCTTGCTGATGTAGACTGACTAATGTTTTGTATAGCTTGATTAAATAGCTCAGGAAATCTTGATTGAAAATGCGCCCGGTAGTTCGAATATGAACTTAATAAACCATCTTCGCTTCTACAAGGAAATTGAAGCAAAAGCTGCTAGTAAAAAAAAGCTTCACCATCTTCTACAGATAAATGTTGAAATCATACTAAAATTGGCTTTTTTTTCCTAATTACAAATTTACCCTGCTGGTCTACCCAATAGATAGTAGTTGGATTCGGTTGATTTGGTTTTATTTTATAATTTTGATGATAATACGGATATGTAATATTATCAAAGCATGAATCAATTGGTCTGAAAAAATATTTATCAATAGCATTAGCCCAATATGGATTAGAATCTTCACTATCTAATCGATAAATAGGTTTCACGCATTTTGATCTCATATTAGGTGGAGTAGATAGTAAGCATTCAGTAGCTATGGTGGATCGACAGATAGAGTACCCGATTAAAAGAATCATCAATTCCATCGCACTGAGATGCCTAGCTAAAATATAAGTTCGATATGCATTATGTTCTGTTAGTCTAAATAGATCTGATCTTTCTGGTTTGGTAATATATTTGGTCATGTATTTGGCAAAAGATTTGGAGGTAACATACTGAAAATTACAATGTCCTTGCCACAACAATAAAGTTGGTGGATGATATAGAACAATCTACCGATCAGCCTCCTTGGTTCGACGATATGTATAACGTAGAGAAGAAGGATTATAAAATGTATGATCAGATAATGGTGCTAGAAATTTTTTTCGGCATTGTTCACCAATAAGAGGTGGTCCACCACACTTATTAGGATAACACTGGTGGATTTGATGAGTACAAACCAGTTCATAAAGGACTGGTTCGGTTTGAGGATCAGGTAAATCAGCTCGGATAACATTACGATTTATCAGAGTTGAAATTGGTGTATCAAGATAAGCTATACCATGAGTGTGTATACAGCCATGATTCTGGAATTTATCTCTTTCAAAATAGTGTAACCATTTACTTCATTCGGTCAAATTTTAATTTTTCCAGAGCAAATTACGAACAGAACCTAGTCTTTGATGATAATGAAAATAAGCATGTAAGGGACGATTTGTTGGTAAAGTGCAATGGTCATCAGTATGTGATAGAATTTTTAATAAATATGGCAAAGACCTTTAGCACTAGTCATGGTATAAAAAATTTGAGGGAGACCAAAACTTTGAACCATTTCATTTACAGAATGTTCACTTTTACAAAAATAAGTATCACCAGTTCGAATATAAAAAGGTATTGTAGTAGTTAATGTTTCATTAATAATTGGTCGGTTATTGTAAATACTTTGATTAATTAAATCTGTAGTTGTGGGAAGCTGCTGTTGATTAATTGATTGTTGATGTAAAATGCACTGTCTGTTTTGATAGTTACGCAGCTTTTCTAAATTAATATAGGACCAAAACGGCCAGTACCAGTGAAGTCGAAATTGAGAATCTGAATATAATAAATGAAGTTTAATATATTTAGCATAGGTGTCAATGTAAACGCGACGATCATTCATTATGTTAGAGATTTCACCCCAATGACTATAGCCATCCGGAAAGAGATCAGGAAAAAGTATAGCTTTCAAGTTTGGGTCATTATATGGAATTGGTATATCTATATTATTAGGATCTCTCATAAAACCAGAAATTAGTCTACTATAATGAAAATCTCCATTATGAATTTCAGGGTTAAAATCATATGGTGGTACTACTATATCCAGTTGGCATAGCAGTGGGTCACTATTAGTGGTTATATTTTCTTCATCAATTAACTGTGCAGTAGGAAAAACATTCAGAGGACGCATAATAATAATAGATGAAAATATTTTATCAAATTGTGTAAAAAAAGATTATTTGTTTTTAACCAGTTAGCTGCATGCAATAAAGACAGATGAAACCAATTATGATTAGGTGCTGGGTCTAAAATTGCACCTAATGTTCCAGAATAAAGATATAGAGCACGAACATTTTTTGAAAGGCCAAATGTGCCAGTAAGATGACAATAATGTGTAAAGCGATTTGCATTCTCTGCACATCCAAGAAAGCAACTCAAATGAATAGGGAAAAGCCAATGTCGATAAAACATTGGAACATTCGCTATAGAATCTGGAATAGGTGCTAGTGTTGGGGAATTATGACGTTTAGAAATTGATATACATGGAGTACATACAGCAATATATTCTTCTTTAGCAGAATGTTTAGTAAGGGATAAATGAGGAAAAGCCCGGCTGAGATCATAATCTATATTAATATCATGAGAAACCCATCTTGCTTGAAATGGATACATGAGAATTAAACAATGTGAATAGGGAACACATGGAAACATGTACAAAAGTTCAGTTTGAAAACGGTGATTGAGAGAAATTAAAGAGCATGATGGTTGCCATGGGGGAAAAGAAGGTAAGTTAAATATAGGTTGATGAGGAATTTCTAATGAGAACGCAGATGCTAAAGTAGGTGCTCTTGGGTGGTTTGCATTGATATCTAATCGAACTTGATAACCTGAAAAAATATCATTACATAAATCATGATAAGAGTTATTTTCATCTAAATCAATGATAGATATTTGGTTTACTGGAAGAGACATTATGTAATTAATTTTAATAGCTTATCAGTAGCGAAGAAAGAAATTCAAATAGATTCTTCCTCTTTTATAGATTTTGATGATGAATCGAATTTTGAACTAAAGTTAACAAACAATACATATAACGATTTTCATGCAGGGACGAAGATAACTTTTATGCAAATATTTGTATAATACATTATGGATATTTTAAATGAGTATACATACATTAATAAATATTTAATAGTAAAATCCACAATGACGCTATTTTTATTTGGTATAAATGATAAGAATTTATTTTTAATAAAAAAAATAAATCAATAGAACTATATTCAGCATGTAAATCATGCGATGATCAATGTAAGTGTATATTATTTTTATATAGTATTAATTATTAAAAAATAGCCTGTAAGTATAATCTAAAATAGCAGGAAGTTTTATTTATCAGTTAATTATTATAGTATTATGATAAAATAAAAATTAATGAAAATGTAGTCTTTCTAGATATATGCTTCTCAAATATTAATGATTATATTGAATTAACAGACTATTTATTGTTAAAGTCAATAAAATAATTTAATTTAATTGGCATGTATAATGTTATTGGGGCATCTTCCATTAAAGCAATTAATTAGGTTAATCTATTAGCAAGTATAATATAGATTTATTTAATGCAGTTAGTATAATCTGTAGCCCCTATGATTTATTTTTATCATTGATTGTGATCACGATAGCTAACATAAATCAGAGCTTATATTTATAATAAATTGGCCGGGTTTAGCAATCATGATCGTAATCAATGATAAAAAATATATATAATTCATAGAGGTTACAAAATTATGCAAACGCACCTCTTATTAAGTTATTATCGCTGGTTTAGTTAATAAATAGTCATTATTTAAGTTAATTTATACAATAAGGGTAAACAATTGATTTATTAGTTAAGAAAAATTAAAATAATTCAAGTACAGTAAATCTCAATAAATGCACATTCTTAAACTAAACTTTAACAATGTGTATTTAGAGAACAAATTGTGAACTTTAAATTTTAGGAAATATAAACTGAAAATTGTAGAGTGCAAACTATGCTCTAAATATATATAACATAATTATTGAAGAAATTAATTTTTTGCTTTTTTTGAAGCTCTCTTATTTTTAGTTTTTTTTTGTTCCTCTTCTACAATTTGTTCACTTATAAATTCCAATTCATCATCTTCTGGTGCATCTTCAACTCGAGTCCTTTGATACTAAATGTTATCCACAGCCACTGGTTCAAGAATATTCAAAGCCAAATCGGACAATTTGCCTTTACCTTTTGCGCTAAAATTAGCAGAAGAAATTGAATTTTGAGGTTGTACAACAGATTCATTAATAGTAGTAGATGAGCTGGCGTTTTGATTTAAAGTTCTTGATGCAAACCCACGAGGCCTTTTTGGAGCTTGTGAGATATTGGAATCGATATCTTCAGCGATCGTATCAATATCTGAACGATGTTCAGAAACATTTGCGGATGTACTTGGTTGCACATTCTGGACCGTATTAAGATTAGTGGGCATAAAGTCAATGTCCATAACCTCAAGTATAGTAAAATCAGAGGTTATGCGTCTGACAAACCCAGATATGATAAATGTTCTATTTGGTTTAATGCTATTATTAGCACGTATGTAGGAGAATCGAGGAGCATTAGTGGGAAAGAATATTCTCATTTTCATATAAACACTCCTAGAAGTTGTGTGAGCATTATACTGATAACACCCAGCTTTAAAATACGTAGAATCTCCACACTCTCTTGGTTCATGGCTAACCAGAACAATAAACATACAGTGTAGAACACTAATTGGGATTTTATTAGCTACAAACTCTTGGTTAGGCTCACCGGCTGCAATAACATTGGCATAAGAAACAGTAACATACTGTTCTAAATTTTCAACCATGAATTTACCACCAAACATTACAATATCACCAACTGAAAATTCAGTGTAAGGGGTATTATAAGGATAAAAATATTTTCAACGAATTATTTTAAAGTCATTTTCAGCTGAATGATATTTGGCAAGACCTTGCATTAGAAAGTTAGTATCATCTTTAGTAATGATAATAACAATCAAGGTGGTATGTGAAGGCATCTTAATAAAATTTTATTAAATTTCACAATGAATATGAAGAACATTTTTTATGAGTATATATATACTAAACGTTTAGCAATCGTCAAAAGCAACGTATAAGGAATTTATTGACCTGATCACAATATACCATCTATAATAAAGATAGATTTAAATAAATAAAACGAATGAATAGATAATCTTTATGAAAATAATTAGATTAGTATTTTTATTATTCGCGACAATAATAATGATACCAAAAATAAAAATATATAGTGATTAGCTTACAAAAATTAGACATGTCTATCAAAGTTGATAGTAAAATTAATAAGTAATTCACGTCCAAAATATGAGCAATATCAAAGTAAATATAACATGGTGATAAAAATAAGCAGCAAGCAATATGTAAGCTATTGCATCACAATAAACACAATCAATTCATTCTTGCCTTATTAATTAAAAGCAAAAAAGTGATCACTATGAAAAGTTTAAATATAAATGGTACTAACAAGCAAAATAAATATGACTATTTAGGAAAAATTAAATAAATAAAAAGAAGATCGATTTTAAGAAGAATATAATAAATCAAGGGTCATTTAATCTTCATGCCGCATAAACTGCATTATTGACATACGCATATAAATATAACCATAAAACATCAAAAAAGCAAACCTAAACCTAATTATACTTTAACTGACCCTTAACCAATTCACATATCCACGAGCGCATATTTTTTGTATGAAGTCTAAATTCTCAAGTTTTAATAACTGATAAGTCAAAATGAATGAATTATGCACTTGTCAAACTTCAAGTAACTCGAAATGATAATTAGAATTTCCAAGTGAATTAATATTTAATTTATATACATATATATAATTCACATGACTTTATAACATTAAAAAGTATAAATACAACCTGCGTACGATAAAATTTTTTTGGGCCATGCGCAGATAGATCTGAGCGCGCAGCTTAGATAGTACAGTACAATACATAAATATAAAAATCTTCCATGAAATTTCACGAAAATCTTCTCCGCTTTAGTCAAAAAGGAAATATGGCGGTCACGAGCAAGGCTCAAAGCCAATGTTTAAGACGACACATGCTCAAACACTAATTTTTAAGGAAATGATCAGATGCAGATCACGGAAGAAGATTGAAGAGGGTTAACTTATAGAATTAAATAAATAAAAAATTGATCAAATTTGATTAGGTAGGTACCGAGTAATCTTTGTTCAAAGTTTCGGCGACTACAAAGAAAAAGCAGCGGCCAATTGTTTTTAACTTTTAATGAATATTTTTATTTTAATTCTGTAAACTCAGAAATTAAACCATAGATTCATAACTACGGCCAAAATTGCAGATCATTTTACCAGATTTAAAATTGGTTTGTTCTAGATCTGGCTAAATGATCTGCAAATTTAACCAGAATTATAAACGATGGGTTTTTCTATTTATCAGATGGCCTATATGATTTCATAAATTCATGCTACAATAATAATTATTATTTATTGGCCAAAAAGCAAAATCTTGCATCGGTCATAATTTTGACCGGTCGGTTAAACCTCTCTGACCGGTCAATATCGGTTACGGCCATTGACCGGTCATGACCGTTCATGACCTGACCGTGGCCATCCCTAACTTTGCACAATCATTTAAACAAATATCCTCAACTAATTTATTATATCGAGCCTTAAACTCAATAAAGAACAAACTCATAGAACAGCTAGTTTGTTCATCTAATTTTGAATTCGCGTTTATTTTCATTATGGTGTTTTTGTAATTCGATAATTTTTTCTGCGATGAAGTTTTAAAAATATTTTTTTATAAATTCACCTGCTTATGATCTTTCCCAGCATCTCTAACAAAAATTTCGGGTACATGATTGTCGAAAAATACTTCAATATTTGATCATTAGATTAGCATTTTTATTAGGATTAGATACGTGTAGTTTATATAGTATACTTGCTCAAAGAACACTTCAAAAGATCTTTTATTCTTTTACATTTATATTATACCTAATCGAGCTTTTTTGTTGGTTAATCAGGGTGGTGTTGATTATTAACGTTAAATACAGATACATGACTGATTTTGAGCATATTAAGAGTTTATATTTTAACATTTTTATTTTGCACAAATATTAGAACACCTATTTGTTGATTGTAAAAGTACTTTGTTCGTTACTTTTTCAACTTTAATTAAGTGCAAACCTGTGTAATAGTTTATTTTTTTAAAAAAAATAAAACTAAAAAAAGCAATCAGCCGATATTGATATGCGCCGAGAATAATTTATTTTCATGTGTATTTATTACGATGTTCTATTTGATCCAAGAATGTAATTTAATTAAAATTTAAAATTTTAAAATTATGAAATTTAAAACTTTAAAGTGGAGCATTTCTATTGGCTACCTACGTTTTCTGATTTATACACATCACCTAAGATCTAGAGATGTGAACTGTGAATTACATTACATATAAATAAGTAGTAATTTATTTTAAAACTACAGTTTACAACAAACTACGGTTTATTTATATTAACTAATAGTTTTCAGATCGCACCTCTACTAATATTTATTTAATAAAAGAAAAAAAATTTTCTTTATATTTTATCTAACTTGATATTTAAAGACGATCTAATACAATAAATAACGAAAGCGTTCATAAAGATTTACCTTATAGTTTGACTTAATTATTTAATTAAACAACAAAGAGTGGCATGCTTATTTATGGTTTGTATATTTGAACGTTCAACAAATTCATTCGTAATTGTCATAGGCATTATTTAACCAGACCGATAAAAATGCTAAAGTTCCAGGAAATTTTTAAATTGGTTCACTCATATAAATGTTTGAAAATTACATTTTAGATCATTATCAATTTTTTACATACGACACTGAAATTGATTTATAACCATTTTATTTATTATATAACCGTATATTTTCTTCACTCAAAAGCTAAGAAAAAATCCAACATTATAAAAATAATAATACATGAGATAAATTAAGAACAAATTAAGAAAATTATAATAAAACTATTGAATAAATAAAGTATTGCTATTCTTTCACAGATTTATTTTTAGTTGAAAAGCAATGCGAAAACTCAGGAAATACAGCTTAAGAAATACATAAAATAATACAAATTAAAACATATTGACAAATAAATTTGCAAAAAAAACTTTCAAAGTGTACCAGATTGAAAATATACGGATTAAACCATTATTTTTTAGACTAGTTATTAGGTGGCTTAATTATATTATAAAAGTAATAAAATTGTGTTTCAAAGTTAAATGAGTCCATTTTAGTAGATGTCTTATTTGTTTTTTGAACAAACTATTTCACGAATCTCATTTATTGTCAATTTAAGATCTGAATGTACGTATAAACCATCATATCTAACCATAATATAATTCCTAATTTTATGAGAAAGGTTGGACATTTGAACAACTTCATGTGAAAAGAGTAGGTAGGTCTGTAGCATATGGGCCGATTTTTTTGTATACTTTGTAATTCTGGTCAAATTTGCTGATCATTTGGCATCAGGTTTAAATTGATAAACCAAGGGCCAAATGATCAACAAATTTGACCAGAATTAGATCGTTTTGAAAAGTATATCAAAAAAATCGGAATTTTGATAGCAAAATAATTAACACTTATTTTCATTCCGTTGCATTTTGTGAGTTTTATCACCTCTTACCTTCACTAACTGGTTTTACCCTTTCAACGGTTTCATCGGTTTCACTTTAGCCTTTCAAAAATTTGTGAACGACTTTTTCAACGCAAAACATCTAAGTTTTAGCCTAATAACAAAAATACCTTTATCATTTATTGAAATACTGAAATACTCTAGTGTTATAGAATTGGTTAATATGGTATTGTTGTAACTATTAAGGGTATATTCAGAAGTCAATTTCCAACAAACGGTTATTATAATTTAGATCTATATTTAAGCACGTAGATATTATATCTTTCCATTTTTCGATATAAAGTTAAAATGTATCTTTATGAAAATTTGCATTGTTAAGTTGTTTGCATATCGATAATTCCCAATCATTATTAAAATCAAAATTTATATTTTGTAAATTTAAATGCAAATAAAAGATTGCAAAGAATGTTTGAAATAGAGATTCAAA